AGGGACTGAAATAGTTTTTATTGAGAGTGATATAAGTTTTATGTTTCAAATGAAGCATATTTGCTTTTGTCTTTTCTGGTGTCATCATATATGCAGATACTGATGCAGTTACCTGTGTCAATAAAAATATGACTTGTCATGTTCATATTCCTGTTGTAGAAAAAGATCTATGGACTATACTAAGAAGTGTTTTTGTAATAGAAGCTTTGAGTTTTCATTTGCTCTCTTAAGGATTACGAGAATATAAAAGAAATTTCCATTCAAAATTTTAATGTAGTGAAGCTGTTTAAAAATTTTTTTATTCTCAAATTTTTATTTAGACAGGGTCTCACTGTGTTTTCCAGACTGGTCTCAAACTCCTGGGCTCAAGCAATCCTACTGCCTTGGCTTCCCAAAGTGCTGGGATTACAGGTATGAGCCATCCTGCTTGGCCTAAAAAAATTTAATGTGCGCCGGGTGTGGTGGCTCACGCCTGTAAGCCCAGCACTCTGGGAGGCCGAGGCGGACGGATCACGAGATCAGGAGATCGAGACCATCCTGGCTAACACGGTGAAACTCCATCTCTACCAAAAATACAAAAAAATTAGCCGGGCCTGATGGTGGGTTCCTGTAGGTCCAGCTACTCGGGAGGCTGAAGTAGGAGAACGGCATGAACCTGGGAGGCAGAGCTTGCAGAGCCGAGACTGCACCACTGCACTCCAGACTGGGCAACAGATTCCATCTCAAAAAAAAAAAAAAAATTAATGTGGAACTTAATTCTCCTGTTTTATAGTCATAAATGATCTGTATTTCAGGTTTTTGAAATATGAAAATTGATGAAATTACATTGACAAAAATAATATTCTTCTGTTACTTAAAATAATACAACACAGAATATAGAAAACTGGAATTGCAATCATAGAACAAACTGAAGAAAATCAAGTGATATTAGCAGACTGGTTAAAAGAACTACGACTAAGGGCAAAATATACTTGCTTTTTCTTTTTTTTTTTCTCCCTCATCCTCATTTTTCTTTTTTTCCATTTATTATTTATTTGTTTTGAGACAGATTCTAGCTCTTGTTGCCCAGGCTGGAGTGCAGTGGCGTGATCTCAGCTCACTGCAACCTCTGCCTCCTGAGTTCAGGTGATTCTCATGCCTCAGCCTCCCGAGCAGCTGGGATTACAGGCATGAGCCACACCTGCCTAATTTTGTATTTTTAGTAGAAACAGGGTTCCACCATGTTGGCTAGGCTGGTCCCAAACTCCTGACCTCAAGTGATCCAACCACCTTGGCCTCCCAAAGTGCTGGGATTACAGGCATGAACCATTGTGCCTGGCCTCTTTTTGCTTTTTAATTGACAATAATAATTGTATATATTTGTGGGGTAGTATGTGATGTTTTAACACATGTATATGTTGACCAAATCAGGCTAATTAACATATCCATCACCTCACATATTTATCCTTTATGGTGAGAATATTTGAAATCCACTCTTATTAATTTTGAAATATACATTACCTGTCATCACCTTGTTATGTACTTGTTATTTTTCATTAGTGCATTTTAAAGTCATTATACAAGGAATGCATGATAGTTGTTTATTTTAAAATGCATGAATTATATAGATTGTTATCTGCATCTAATGACTGAGAACAAATTCAAAGATTTTAATAATGCAAAGAAGTTTCATGTTGCACAGATTTAAAGATGTTATACTACAAAACTAATAATTTGTCAACTTAACACATACACACTCCATTAGGAACTCTTCTGTAATATTCTCTTCTAAAAGCTGTTCAACAATATGTAGAGCTTTTCTTTCAAATTCAATCTTCTTTCTCACAGCTGCTTCTAGTTCTGCTTTCCTAAAATTTGAAAGAGAAAGTTAATCTACTTATAAGCTTCATGTCCAATATTCCATTTTTTAAAATACAACACTAACCTAACTCACTATTTTGCCACTTAAATTTAAACATATTTAAAAATTTTTTTGAATAAAAATATTTATTTCTTTTTAGTTGTAAAGACAAGGTCTCACTATGCTGCTTAGACGGGTCTCAAGCTCCTGGCTTCAAGTAATACTCCCACCTCAGCCTCCCAAAGTGCTGGGATCACCAGCATAAGCCACCATATCCGGCCAAATTTCTATTTTCTAATGCTGTTACTTTTGATCCAATACTTTTCAAAAAGGAAACAAGCTACTTTTTGCACTGCACATACAGAAATCTTTATATACTCTTTGTCTGGTTAATGTCTACTTAGCATGCAGGTCTCAGCATAAGGCTTTCCCTGAAAACTCACAACTAACCTCCTTGCCACCCACTTCCAACTAAATTAGACTTGATTATTCTTTCTCGTAACATCACAGCCTTTTCCTTCATAGTGCTTATCACAATTTGTAATTATGTGTTTATGTTAATTAACTATTATTTATTCCTCTGTTCCACTAGACAAGAATTGTGTCTATTCTGTTCACCATATCTTCAGAGCCTAACACAGGTCTGGTATATCTTATACTCAGTAAATAATTTTTGAAAGAATGAGTAAATTAAGACCAAAGTCAATATAAGATTAATAAGTCTTCACAAAATGAAAATCATAGCTACATATACTTTTAATACCCTTCACATTCTATTCCTCTTCTAAAACTTTGTGTGATATGTGGTAATATCTTGCCTTTTGAGAACCAGAACTAGTACAAGACAGCTTTTTTCTTTTTTTGAGACAGAGTCTCACTCTGTTGCCCAGGCTGGAGTGCAGTGGCGCGATCTCAGCTCACCGCAAGCTCCACCTCCCGGGTTCACGCCATTCTCCTGCCTCAGCCTACCGAGTAGCTGGGACCACAGACGCCCGCCACCATGCCCGGCTAATTTTTTGTATTTTTAGTAGAGATGGGGTTTCATCGTGTTAGCCAGGATGGTCTCGATCTCCTGACCTCGTAATCCACCCGCCTCGGCCTCCCAAAGTGCTGGGATTACAGATGTGAGCCACCATGCCCGGCCAGGACAGCTTTTTGATGAAAATCTGGACTTGATGTAACAAAGAACAGAAAAGGTTTCTTGGAGCGACAGAGAAACTTGGAGAGTGAGTCTCTGGCATATAAAGCAATAAAAGGGGAGTGTACCTGAAGTGGTGAAAAACAAACACCTTCTACAGACACTCACGCCTTCACTAGCAGTCTGAGTGCTTAGTTTGGTTTTCTTAAAGCCTGGAGTAGAGGAATGTTAACAGTCTATGTGAGAATTTATAGGCCTTCCCAGATCTTTCCCTTCCCTCTCATGATAATTTTCTCTAAAAATAAAAAAAGGTAACTATTAGTTTTAAAATTGGTACAAGTAATATGAGATAAGTAGATATGCCATTGTAGTTGTCCATGTAGCTGTCATACCTTTTAGAAGCATCTTCTTGTTTCAAAGTAGTTGTCTGTTTAGTACCTACAACAAAAATACAGTCATGTGCCACATAATGACATTTCGTAAACGACGGACAGCATACAGACAGCGGTCTCATAAGACTAAAATACTGTATTTTTACCGTACCTTTTCTATGTTTAGATATACAATTGCCTACAGTACTTAGTACAGTAACATGCTGTGCAGGTTTGCAGCCTGGGAACAATAGGCTGTACCATATAGCCTAGTGTGTAAGTAGGCTATACCATCTAAGTTTGTGTAAGTGCACTCTATGATGGTCACATAAGGATGAAATCGCTTAACAACGCATTTCTCAAAATGCATCCCCGCAGTTAAGCTACACATGGTGGCAGTAGGTCAGGCCTACACAAACACATTAGGTACAAGATAGATTCCTACACAAATAACAAACTAGACGAATTTTTCTTCTTTTCCACCTATTTTATGTCCAATCGTGTGTAAATCAAAATGAAATAGGTAAAGGGCAAGCAATTTGTTTTTGCAAATTGATTACTGTCTAATTTTTCTTGGTTAAAATGTATCTCTTTGGGGATTGAATTTTCTTCTGTATCATAGTTGCTTAATTAATCATTCCTGAAAATCTGAGATCTGGGTACTTTTTAGGGAAACCTCTCTCTCCGTCTGCCAAACGTCCTCTTTGGGAGAAGAGGGGAGTCCGGCACCTCAAAGAACCAGGCACCCAAGCAATCTGGAAAGGAGGACCGGTCCTAGGTTCAAGACCAGCTGCCAACGCTGCCCTAGTCACTTGCCCCGAACCCCGGGGACCCTAGGCCTGGGTTCCCGGCGCCTCCACTGTACTTTCTCTCAGAGGCTGGGGCCATGGCCCGCGTGAGGGAAATCTTGCAACACTGGCGTAAAGGGGTGAGGGCCGGCCAGGAGATCTTTCCCAGGGGGAGCGGACGGCGGTGGGAAGCTTTCGGCCTTCTCTACCTGGGAGAACCCCTCCCCTGAAGCAGCCTTTCAGGATCGCCCGTGCGCTTCGGTTTAGAACTCGAGATCGGGGTCCAGCTTTCAGGGTCCCAAAGTGAGAAGACATCCTTGCTCCTACCTGTGGCTTTTCGAGAGCGGCGAGGAGCCCCGGCCTTGCGGCCGGCAGAACCCGGCCCAGTAAAGTCCGCCATCGGGGAGAGTAGTCTGCGGAACCCGGACTAGCTCCGGCGTCTCGCCCCGAGGCCCCGCCTTCCTACGCGTAGCGCGAGGCGGACCCCGCTGGCGTGGGGCGGGGCCAGAAGAGCGGGCTAAGTGGCCGGAGGAGGTGGCGGCGGCTGGGAGAGGCGAGAGATCCGGCCGGTAAGTGGAGTAGTGGAGAGGTTCGGGGTGGCCAGGGCTCGCGGTTGGCCGTGAGCCGCGGCGGACTTGGTGCCGCGGGCCGACTAGGCCACGCGAGGTGGTGGAGCCTGCACACCTAGGCGAGCAGGAATCGGAAGACATGGCTTCCTCTGATGCCGCCAGCACGCGCGCTGGGGTGTTATTCGGCTTATAGCGCGCTGCGCTGAGAACCGGGCTGACCCGCGCCACTACTGAGGGTTTGGGGCTGAGCCTTGCCTCCGGGAGAAGCGATGGTCTCCTCCTGAAGGCCGCCGTTGCCTTGCCTCCGTGTGATACAGTGATTTCACTAGCTGGATTGATCACTTTGGGTACTGCAACTCCTAGAGAGAAATGGGATGGAGGGCATCTGAATCTTCACCCCCTATAGATAAACTTGTGTTGCACCCCAATTTTTGTGAGGTGAGACATTAAAAAATCCCCTAATGATTAGAATTTTGATTTCAGGTCCACCTTTTGGAATTTTTTTTTCATAAAAGAAGTACTTTGCTTTTTAAAAGCCCTTTAGTTCGTATTTGCCTCGCCTCTTGGGAGTACTCGGGAGTTTTTTCTTTTTTTCCTTCAAAATAGCTTTCAAAACTATGCTCCTAGAAAACTTAAAAGATGCAATAAGGGCTTCTTAAAAAACACTTTATTTTCTTAGACAAACATACTAAGATTCAGTAATAACATTTCAACCTTAGAACTTTACATTTTCTCCTAGCATGCTATTGGACCAAAAAACACAACAACAAAAACTTTCCATTTTCTTTATTGTATTTACTAGTAATTTATCACACTGAAACATAACTTTTGAATACTTAAATGTAATATCACGGATATTTAACAGTGTGTTTTGTATTTGTAGATTTTAGCGTCGAAACTGGGAGAAATAGGAATGGCTGTAGAGGAACTTCAGTCTATAATAAAGAGATGTGTAAGTATTTTTTTAATTTTTGTAAAATTAAATACCTTTCAAAATATGGGAAGGGCACAGATGGTTTTTAATTATATTTGTGGTCACTCAAATTGTTTATCTTCTTTAATCCTTGCTTTTTTTGACCTGTAAAGAACGTGAGTGGGGGAGGCAGATTGGATTATTTCTCCAGGTGACATACTTATCTAAATAACCTTTTACATTTTAATCCTGATCCTTTTCATAGGTTTCACTGGTACAGTAGATTTCAAGGTCATTTATTAAAGTATTTATTAGGGTAATCCTAATTTTGATACATGTGTTATTTACGTTACATTTACCTAGAATTTAAACAGATTTCCTTTTTTCATAGATAAGTCAAGAAGTTACTGTATTTAATTTTTATTTACATATACATTTGTTCTTTTGTTTTTGGGGGGCTTTTCTGCCAGCAAATCCTAGAAGAGCAAGACTTTAAAGAAGAGGATTTTGGCCTATTTCAGTTAGCTGGGCAAAGATGCATAGAAGAAGGGCACATAGACCAGCTATTAGAAATTATTCAAAATGAAAAGAATAAGGTACGTACAATCTTGGTGTTACTTTTCAGTCTTGGGAAGAGAATAATCACATGATGCTATTCATCCAGTCATTTATCCATCAAACATTTAAGAATCTACTTAAATTTTCACAGTAGGGAACTGAAGACAAAAAAAGAATTAGAAATATTCAGGTGGGGCGTAGTGGCTCACGCTTGTAATCCCAGCACTGTGGGAGGCCGAGGCAGGCAGATCACTTGAGCCCAGGAGTTTGAGACTAGCCCGGGCAACAGAGTAAGGCCCTGTCTCAGAAAAAAAGAAAAGAAAAGAAACAGTCATATACTTGAAGGTACTTACAATCTGGTCAAACAGATAAACATGTAAACAACTAACAATAATGAGGCAAAATAAATAAAATAAGTGCTATAGTTGAAGTAAAGAGTTTTTAGAAGAAACAGAATTACTTCTGGTTTAGGGAGTCCAAAAATAGTGTTTGGGTTATTAATTTACATTGAAAAATATACATATCAAGCAGGCTAAATATTCATTTTGGGTGATCAGCCCATTCTCCAGCCAAATGTGTATGGAAAACCAAATTTTAATTAAAACAGTATTTTATGTGCTTAGAATCAGAACAGGAGGAAAGCTATATGTCATTATGCTAGCCAGTATCATCCAGTTACAATAGTTTGAGAAGTCCTCTACAATAGAAAAGGATCTTATTTGTGAATCAGGAATAACTTTTTCCTGGGACACTGTCTTGGCAACACCCTGCCAAATTTTGTGTCTTTGGATACTCCTTATAAGGAAGACTGCTATGGTTTGGTTCTGTGTCCCCACCCAGATCTCACCTTGAATTGTAATAATCCCTGTGTGTCAAGGGTGGGACCAGGTGGAGGTGATTGAATCAAGGGGGTGGTTTCCCACATGCTTCTCATCATAGTGAGTGAGTTCTCACGAGGTCTGATGGTTTTATAACCATCTGGCATTTCCCCTGTTGGCACTCAGCCCCTCTCCTGCTGCCCTGTGAAGAGGTGCCTTCCGCCATGGTTGTAAGTTTCCTGAGGCCTCCCTAGCCATGTGGAACTGCATGTCAATTAAACCTCTTTTCTTTCTAAATTACCCAGGCTTAGGTATTTTTTCATAGAAGCAGCGTGAGAACAGACTAATACAAAGACCATCTTCTTTCTAGGTACACAGTCTTTCTTCATTTGCAGTGCTACTTATTTATTAGAAGTTTCTTTCTCGATATCACAGTGTAGTCATGTTGACCTGTGTTTCTCTCCAGGGCATCTTGATTGGATTTGGGGGATTCCTAAAACTTTTTAATCATACATTATTATAGCATCTCTTAGTTCAAATGGCTTATACCCTTCTTATTTTTTATTAAAATAATTAGGAGATTTTATTGTTTTTAATATATATTTATGATAACTTTGTAACCCTCAATGTAATAAATTTTATGTTTTTTAAACTCTTCTTGATTTTTTTCTAATTGCGTTCTCAGAGGATAACCTTCGAAAGTACTTAGCTTTTAGCTAATAATAAAAAAATTAATAACAACTAATATTTATTGAGTATTTACATGTACCAGATGCTGTCTTTAGTCCTTTACATTTATTAACTTAGTCTCTCCAAAATCTCAGAAAGTAGGTATTCATTTTGACTGAAAGGTTAAATGACTTGCCCAAAAGTAAGTCAGCTTTTATGTAACATCCAAGATTCAGACCTGTGTAGCATGGTTTTGGAGCTCCTAACTACTCTGCTCTACCGCTGGTTAGTGCTATATGGCATATGGTTTTAGGGTAGAATACAGGGGATTGATTGAGAGGGTGAGGCATCAAAAATGACGGGGTTTCTAGCCTCTAAAAGGATAATATATGGTATCAAACAGAAAAAGGCAGCCTAAGTAGAGGGAAAAGTTTACTGAAGGAACAAGTGATTTGACTTTTAGAAATTTTGAATTTAAGTACAGCAGTCAATTGGAAAATAGGGTTTTGAGCTCAGTAGATACAGGAATTAAGATGTAGATCTCTGAGACACATATCTGTGAGACTTTAATTATGTAAAGATTGGGTAATTGAAGCATTGAGGGGTGAAAAAAAAACAAGAATTTACCTGAGTTCACAGAAAAGAGGCTGAAGAGAAGAGGCCCAAGATCCCATCTTGAGGAATTTAAGAAACAGATAGAGAGAAGAGGCCTGCCAAGGAGATGAGGATCAGCACCACATCTATGAGGCAGAAGGAAAAGGGAAGTATAAACAAAGTATTTTTCAGGCATTGCATGCCTCAGTGTTTTATTTTTAGCATGCTTCTGAATAGCTAATGGGATAGATTTAAACATTGTGAGGCTTAGTCTTAATAGTTTGAGAATCACCTTTGCAATATGTGATCAGCTAAATGCAAAGGTTTAGATACTGATAAGACAATGTTCAAAACTGACTACAGGCCAGGCATAGTGGTTCACGCCTATAATTCCAGCACTTTGGGAGGCCGAGGTGGGTGGATCACCTGAGGTCAGGAGTTTGAGACCAGCGAGGTCAGGAGTTTGAGACCAGCCTGGCCAACATGGTGAAACCCTGTCTCCACTAAAAATGCAAGAATTAGTCGGGTGTGATGGCGTGCCCCTGTAATCCCAGCCACTCAGGAGACTGAGATAGGAGAATTGCTTGAACCTGGGAGGCGGAGGCTGCAGTAAGCCAAGATTGTACCACTGCACTCCGGCCCGGGAAACAGAGTGAGACCCATCTCAACAACAACAACAAAAAAAACCGACTACAATTTAATTTTCTTGCTAGGTGAGACTATCAAAATTGACCAAGATTTACTATTATTTTCAACTGTAAGAGTGAATTGGGTGCAGCACACCAACATGGCACATATATGTAACAAACCTGCACGTTGTGCACATGTACCCTAGAACTTAAAGTATAATAAGTCCACTAAATATTTTTTTAAAAAGTGAATTAAAGAAAAAATAAAAATATTTGCTATTTACTGCTTTGTAAGAGACTATTCACATACTATTTATTACAGTATATTGTAATTGTTGTAGTTATTGTTAATCTCAATTTATAAATTAAACTTTGTTACAGATATGCATGTATAGTATATATATATAGCGTTTGGTACTATTCATGGTTTCAGGCATCCACTGGGGGTCTTGGAATGTACTCTCTGCAGATAAGTGGGGAGACTACTGTATCCTAAGCTCTATTTTTATTATCTTACAAGACTGGGGTCAATATGAGGTATTACAGGTGTCATTTTGTCTTCCTAGATCAGCTTTTTAAAAAAAAATTCTAATTTTTGTGGGTACATAGAAGGCATATATATTGATGGGTACATGAGATGTTTTGATACAGACATATAATGTGTAATAAGCACATCATGGAGAATGGGGTATCCATCCCCTCAAGCATTTATCCTTTGTGTTACAAATAATTCAATTATACTCATTTAGTTACTTTAAACTGTACAGTTAGTTATTAACTATAGTCACCCTGTTGTGCTCTCAAATAGTAGGTCTTATTCATTACTTATAACTATTTTTTTTTTTGGTACTCATTAGCCATCTTCCCTGCCTCCCACTACTCTTTTCAGCCTCTAGTAACCATCCTTCTACTCTCTGTGTCCGTGTGTTCAGTTGTATGGTTTTTTCACATCCCACAAAAAGGTGAGAACATTCATTGTTTTTCTGTGCCTGACTTCTTTCACTTAACATAATGGTCTACAGTCCCATCCATGTTATTGCAAATGACAAGTTGTCATTCTTTTTTATGGCCGAATAGTACTCCGTTGTGTATACGTACCACATTTTCTTTATCCATTCATTTGTTGATGGACACTTCGGTTGCTTCCAAATCTGAGATAAACAGTGCTGCAATGAACATGGGAGTGCAAATGTCTCTTCAATATAGTGATTTCCTTTCTTTTGGGTATATACCCAGCAGTGGGATTGCTGGATCATATGGTAGCTCTATTTTTGTATTTTTTGAGGAACTGCCAAACTGTTCTCATTAATGGTTGTACTAATTCACATTCCCACCAACAATATATGAAGGTTTCCTTTTCTCCACATCCTTGCCAGCATTTGTTATTGACTGTCTTTTGGATATAAGCCATTTTAACTGGGGTGAGATGATATCCCGTTGTAGTTTTGATTTGCATTTCTCTGATGATCATGATGCACAACTTTTCATATGCTTGTTTGCAATTTGTATGCCTTCTTTTGGGAAATGTCCATTCAAATCTTTTGCCAATTTTTTTATTGGATTATTAGATTTTTTCCCTTAGTGGTGTTTGAGCTCCTTTTCTATTCTGGTTATTCATCCGTTGTCAGATGGGTTAAATCTGCTTTTTCTTTATTTATATATTGTTTTGAGATAGGGTCTGTCTCTTGTCACCCAGGCAGGTTTGCAGAGGTGTGATCACAGCTCACTGCTACCTCTGCCTCCCAGGCTCAGGCCATCCTACCACTCATCCTCCCAAGTAGTTGGGACTTCAAACGTGTGCCACCAGGCCCAGCTAATTTTTGTATTTTGTAGACACAGGGTTTGGCCATGTTGCCCAGGCTGCTCAAGTGATCCGCCCACCTCAGCCTCCCAAAATGTTGGGATTACAGGCATGAGCCACCATGCTTTAAAAAAAAAACCAAAAAACAAAGACTGGGCGCAGTGGCTCACGCCTGTAATCCCAGCACTTTGGGAGGCCGAGGGAGGTGGACACGCAGTCAGGAGATCCAGACCATCCTGGCTAGCACGGTGAAACCCCATCTCTACTGAAAAAAAAAAAAATACAAAAAATTAGCTGGGCCTGGTGGTGGGCACCTGTAGTCCCAGCTACTCAGGAGGCTGAGGCAGGAGAATGATGTGAACCCAGGAGGCAGAGCTTGCAGTGAGCTGAGATAGTGCCACTGCACTCCAGCCTGGGCAATAGAGCAAGACTCAGTCTCAAAATAAATAATTAACTTTAAAAAATAGAGACAGGGTCTCACTAGGTTGCCCAGGCTGGTCTCAAACTCCTGGGCTCAAGTGATCCTC